TTATATATGGACAGGGAACATTCCCTTGAAATCCCAAGTTCCCAGCTTTCTTAGTTCCCAGTTACCCAAATTCCAACCAGAAAATTTCACGGGGCCGCACGCGGCAACCACGCATAAGGGGAGACTGAATTTGGTAAATTGAAGTTGTAGATGAGTTGGGAGTATTTCCTGGAAGTTTCAGCCTCCCAGCTTCCCTGGCTCCGGAGTTATTCATTTTCCCGCCAGAAATTTTCACGGGGCTGTACGTGGCAACCACGCAAATTGGGGGGCTGATTTTGTTAAATTGAAGTTGTAGATGAGTTGTGAGTATTTCCTGAAAGTTTCAGCCTCCCAGCCTTCTTAGTTTCCGACCTAGCGATTTTCGCGCCAGGAGCCCTCAGGGGGCCGTACGCGGGAACCACGAACCCCCGGGGGCTGAATTTGAAATCTTTGAGTTCTACTTGGACTGGAAACATAATCCCAAAATTTCAGCTTTTTAGCTTTTCTGATTCTCGAATTAGCGATTTTCCCGCCAAACTTTGAGGCGCTCGTACGCGGGGCCTAGAAGTGCTAGAGAGTTGGTACCGCGGTCCTGGGGTGGCACTTGACCGGGGAACCCACCTGCAAAATTTTGGCTCCGGAGCTTGCTTGGGTGCCGAGTTGAAATACCCAGACGGACGCACACACACACATATATATACACGCATTACATACACACACACACACACACATACCGGGGTCGTCACAATATGCGTTTTCGCATTTGCATATATGCAAGAACGCATAAAAATTAGTCAAAATGTACAAAACCCGGCTGAAGGAGCAAAAAAAAGTTAGCCATGGTGCTATAAAAATCTCATCAGATGCGTATTTTGTGCAGGAGCGTGTAAAACTTAGCCAAAAAGCGTAGATATAAATAAATGCGTTGAAAAGTGAACAAATGCGTCCCTAAACATTGCAAGATATCAAATCTAGCCAAATAAGGCTCAAAAATAGAAAGCAGCTGTCATTTTGATCAGGTCATGCCGAAACTGAGCTGCGCATCAATGTTTCATGCACATACATAAAGCAAACGAACCGGTTGCATAGCCATATTATTCTCCATTAGTTCCTGCAAAATACGATAGCGATCAGGATCAGTTCTCGCTCTTCGATATCCAGCACCTGCAAATGAAAGTTTAATGAATCGGTGGTCAACCCGTAGCGCTAATACTGAGGTAAAATATGGATTTTATGAGCATCTGACGAAGCAACAGAAGTCAAAGATGACAACGTACCGGAGTGATAAGAAAAGCGAAATTTCGTAGAGGAGATCTATTACATTTAAATTTGAATATAGTTCCAGAAAATATCGCCTATCTGTAGAACATTTAAAAGTATAAGCTAAAATTTACCGTATTCGTCGTCAATCGTAAGCTCATAGAGCCTGTATCGGGCTTCCTCGCACATTTCTGGGGTCATAAAAGCGCTGCCAGCAAAATTAGTGTGTTTCAGCACATGTTCCAAAAGGTGTGTAACCGAGCAAGTCTTAAGCATGCATCGCCCATGCGGACACCCGAGCGTAGCTGAGAATCCATGATGACGAGATCTAATGAAGCAAGGAATTAAATCAGGTAACGAAAAAATGCAAAGTGGCTAGAAAATATTGCAAAAGGCGCGAGACTAAAATTCTCGAATAAAAAGCTAGCTTTCAGGCGGGTTACTTTTTATGCGTTTTTTGCAGCAATGCAATGCGAAAAACGCATATTGACGAGAGGTTGTCT